TTACAAGAATATGGTAGAAAGCTACACATGCCTTCTAGATAAGAAGATCAACAGTGTTTTTCCAGTTTAGCTTACTATCTAGCAGAATTTCTAGATATTTGGCTTTTTCCGATAGTATTAATTGTTGCCCGTTTAGTGAAGGCAACTTGAAAGCCAGTATTTTGGTTTTGGTGGTAAACAGCATTATTTTAATTTTTCCTGGGTTAATACCTAGTCCATAACCTGTGACCCAGGTACTTATTTTAACCAAGGCCCTTCCATAATATCCCTTATTACGTTAGGGAACATACCTGACACTAGAATGACCACGTCATCCGTATACGCTACTATTTTCACCCCTATCTTACCTAGAATATTAAGAATATTATTCACGACCAGCAGCCACAGTAGTGGTGTAATAACCCCTCCTTGTGGCGTACCTCTACTTACGTGCTTAGTATGGGTTATGCTGCCTAACTTTGACTGAATAGTCCTTGTTTTTAGCATTGTAACTATCCAATTTTTTAACTCTTCCTCTAAACCTATTCTGGAAAGCGAGTCATGGATTGGTGACATTGTTAAAAGCCCCCTCAGTGTCTAAAAAGGTTGCCAACGAGTATTGTTTAAAATGAATCGATTTTTCCAGAGTACGAATGACCTCATGTAGAGCTGTTTCCGTAGATCTACCCTTGAGGTAAGCATGCTGGGATTTAGAGATTGTTGAAGCTCTATTACCCTCTCCATTGAATTTAGTAGGAATGAAATTAGACTAATCGGCCTGTAATCTTTGGCGGACTCGTGTCCGATTTTGCCTACCTTGGGTATAAAAACGACTTTAACCTGATTCCAACTAAGTGGTACATAACTATATTGAACCATGGAACCACTAAGTATTGCAATTTTTGCAACATGATGGAGAGAATACCGTCCAAACCTTCAGCCACCTGCGATGGTGTGCTTGCTAAGGTGATTGAACCAATTTCCCTAGCATCATCTTCGCAGTTTGGGAAATGAGTATCTAATAGTAATCTTAGTGTCTAAGCAGAGGTTTCAGTTCATGTGCCGTCCTCTTTCTTGAGATAAGAAGTATTAGGACTTTCCTTGGATAGAACCTTGCTGAGCCTAGCAGAGGATGAAGTTGATTCAATTGACTTACAAAATTCCTTCCAGCCATTACTTTTGGTCTCCCCGATAGCTTTCTTATAAGTTTTGAGACAATCCTTATTTTCACGCAAACTATTGTTCTTGTAGCTTGTAGCTTGTAGCTGTTTTTATGTTTTCTGCCTGAGATCACTTAATTCTGAGTTCCACTAAGGTGGAAAAGATTTTTTGCTTCTACTTATTGGACCAGATTTCTTGTAAGCTATATTAAAAGCTTTCTCAAGATTATATATCCTCTCGTCTAGCTCACTAGTAGAATAAATTTTGATTTGTTTTACTTTATTAAGTTCCACCTTAGTTACCCTTGTAAAAATGTCCCATTTTATCTTCTTCGGGTTTCTAAAGGGGATGGTATGATTTGGCTTAATGTTTAAACTGAAGAGAATCCAACTATGATCCGAAGTGGATTTCTTGTCAGATACTTTCCAATTACTAACTACAATGTCTGGATTTTAGATAGAAGTGTTATATCAAGCACTTCTTCCCATCCTCCGAAGTTGTGATTATTAAAATAAGTGCTGTGAAGTCCAAAGTGTAATACAAACAATTTTTTTGTCTATGATTTGCCCAAAATTTTTGTTGCAAAAATAAAATAACAGAACATAATGGGTATAATTATTACACCAAACAATTTTTTGAAATTTAAATTTCATTAGTTATCGACGAAATTCTGTCATTGTTTGCTAGTTTACTTTTAAATGCTGCTCCATATTTCGCATATTTTATCTTAGCTTAAATCTTAAATTGATACAGCGACAGCAGTAAGTGATATAGCGTATCATTTGCTTCAATAGTAAAAATCTTCATTTAAATTAGTTTATTTTTATAAATAAAATTTTTTGGTTTTGGTACCGATATATTATTAATAGGAATATTGATTTAAAAAGAACAAGTTTTTAATGCTTTTCAAGAGCAAATTTGATATTTTTGAACTATTTCTGTGTGACATCTACTAAAAATGTAAAATGTAACGCAATAAACGGTAAAAAGTAGAATTTTATGTTTTATATAAATATCAAATCAAATGTGAACATAAAATTAAAATAACTGAATATTTGTGTTTTATTTTTTTAAAGTCAAACAAAAAATTTTAATATCGTAAAAGTATTTAACAATTGAAAATTAGATTATTTTTTTGGTTTTTTTTTTGTTTTTTGATTAAGAAAAATAATTAAACAAAAATCATGTTAAATGTGTTGTATATGATTATGTATTTTTCGAATAGAAAATGCTATATTAATTTGGCACTGTGTCTGCAATAAAATTAGTGGCAGTTTCTTCAGTATTACTGTTCTCGGCTTCACAGTTTTGCAGCAAGGTCTCATCGACAATCTGAAGGTTATCATCGCTAAGAATAATTTTTTCCACATTTGCAACTAAAGCGTCTGTCATTGAAGCGACTGCTGCATCAATTGCTGAATCCATAATTTCTTTTGCATTTAACTGCATACGTTTAACTTCAGCTGCAATATCATCATCATCATTTTCATCACCAACGTTAACTAAATCATCATCGTCCTCATTTGCATTTTTGTTTAAAGACGAAACAGAATCAGGTGTTGATTCTTTCTCAATAGCTTTCTTCTTTTTTGCTTTGCTTTTCTTTTTGCTCTTGCTTTTTTTGGACTCATCATTAGGCTGCTTCTGTTGTTTGGTATGTGCTTCACTTAGTAGTTGCAATTTAGATTCCTCGGCACTCTTTTGTATGTTAATTTCTTTAATTTGATTCTGTAAGCTAGCCAGCGTTTGTTTCAATTCATCACAATATTTTGTCATTACTTCCATTTTGTCCTTATCAGTTACACTAGTTATTGGCGTTGTCTGTATCGGTGCCGGTTCTAGTGGTAGTGGCGGTAGTACTGGTAATTCAATATTATTATCTCGTAAAGAATTATAAAGGTGGGTTCGTTCGTGCTGTAGTGCACGTAATAGTTTTTGTAGTTGTTCCACTTGTTTATTACAACGTTTAGCATGATCATCACGCTCTTGCTTTTCAGTAGCAAGCTCAATGAGTGTAGCGTTACTCTTTTCCCATTTATGTTTCCATTCCAATGATTCTTTTTCCAGTTTTTTGGTATTCTTGGACATCTATATAAATAATGATATATATTAAATAATTTTCTTAAATAACTTTTGTACAAACAAATTACCTTTTCTAATTCTATTTTGTAGGTTGTAAAAACATCATTGGATTTTTTTAAGGAACTTTGGAAGTCATCATATTTGGCAGTATATAGATTTAGTTGTTCTTTTAACGCAGTTTCTCGTTCTGCTAGTTCCTTCAAAGCTGTTTGCGTTTGAAGTAGTTTTTCTAAAGCAATTTGTTTTTCTCTAAAAATGATAAAAATTCGTTTATTGTAATGAATATATACATATATACATTCATTGCAATATTATGACTATAAGTTAGATATCACTTTTTGTGTACTTGTAAAGTAATTTTTTTATTAATTCAATCCAAAACGCATTAAAACATTTCTACAGAAATTTTTTGTAAAATTGTTATTTCACTTTTAGTGCTAGTAGCAGATACTGTTTTTATTCTATTTTTTTATTATTAGTTGACAATTTGGGTGTTGATTTTAATGTTTATATTTGAACTCTAAGATGAGCAATCTCAAAATGCATTAACGAAGTGCAGGAGTTTGCTCTGTAATTGCATATCAAATTGTTATTAATTTAATATTAAATGTTTTCTCCTAAATGTATTTTATTGACACAAAAATATCTACAAGTTCACTTAAACAAGACATTTTCTATGATTGGCTTAAATAATGATCAAGCCATTAATTAATTTTTATCAAGTTAATGAAGTTTTTAAATAGAGCTTAATAACAACACTTGAAAAAATCGACTTTGAAACACTGCTTATAAAAACATATCAGTTACCAGCAGATACCTAAAGTATTCTTTTTTGTTTTTTAAACACATTTTGAGAACAATCATAGCACTTACTTGATTAATATTTCCTTTTCCATAGCTGATGCTACTTCAACTTTATTAAGTTTTGCTTGATGTAATTGAGATTCTAGTTGTACCTGCTCGTTTAATTTCTCCATTTGTAACTCTCGTGTGCGATATTGATCAGCCAAAAATTTTAGTCTGTAAAATTCGCATTTGTATTATAAAAATCAAATTAAATTTTAAAAAAGGACTTATGTAAAAAGTCTATTTAGATATTTTTAGTTAAAATACAATAAAATTATTAAAATTATATTAAAAATTATAAACTATTAAATTGTTGATATATATATATCAATATTTATATATACACATATCAGAAAAATTCTGCGGTCACCCACAATATTTTTCTTAAATTTCGCACAACTTATTTAATTTTTACTCAAATTGATTTTCGTTTTGTGATTTACTTTAACCAAAGATACAACAATGTAGTTCAAACATAAACAATTAACAGTTTTTCTTTAAAAATAAACACAATTATATGCAAAAGGAACAATTTTAATGCAGAAAAAGTCTGCGATCACCCACAACATTTTTCTTCAAGTTCGCATAACTTATTTAATTTTAACTTAAATTGATTTTTGTTTTCTAATTTATTTTAACCAAAGAAACAACAATGAAGTTCAAATATAAAAAATTAACAGTTATTCTTTAAAAAAAAAAATCAAATACAATTATATGCAAAAGGAACAATTTTAATGCAGAAAAAGTCTGCGGACATTTCTTAATATTTCAATTAAAACAATTAAAATTCACAGAAATCTACAATTTAATAGCCTGTGGGATAACCTCTGCGCTAAATCACTTTAGTGATTTAAATCACTTTGCATGAACTCAACCAGCTTGCAGTAACCTGTGCGTTTATTTTTAGTTATTCTTTCTCGATGACATTGCTTAACATATCCTTACTGGAAATCTAGTGCTGGCGAATCTTATTATCCAAATAAACCCACAAATATTCCGTGGGAATAAGATCTGGTGATTCTGGTAGTGTTTGAAGTTACCTGTGAGAATGGTTTAGCAGCCAAATCCGTACAATCGCTACTCTTTGCTTAGAGTCGTTGTCCTGCTGAAACAAAAAAGTTGCCTCAACCGCTAACATACTGTCATTTTCTTTCAAATTTGTTTTTAGTATATTTAGATACCCATGTTTATCCATTGTATCTTGTATAAATTCAAGATTAGCAGCACCATTATTTGCAATACACCCCCAAACCATTACGCCTCTACCACCATGTTTTACCATTGAAATTAAATTTTGTTTATCATAGGCTGTGCATGATTTTCTCCAAACAAGTTTTTTACCTTTAATTTCATATATATATATATATGCAAAATTATCGAAAAAATAACTCATTTTCGGAACTCCATAGGTTTATTTACATGCGTTCTTGCAAAGCTTAATCATTTTATTCTATTATATATATGTATTATTATATGTATGGCTTCTTTCTTGTAACCCGGGTATAATACTTGCTTTTCTTCAAAATTTTTCGCACAGTATCAGGACATGTTTTTTTTCAAGTATTTCAGCAATATGTTCAGCTAGTTTGGAAGCTATTACTCTTGGATTTCCTTTCACCTGGTTAATGACGCTGCGTCTTTCTCTATCCGACAGAATTGAAGGGCGAACAGTGCGAGGTTTAAAAACGTAACTACTCTTCTCTTTGAAGTTATTTATAACTCTCTGCACATATGAATATTGACGACCAATATCTTTATCAATTTTTCGTTGGTTTACGCCATCTTTTCAAAATTTAACAGTTATTTGTCGTTCATTAACACTAATTTTACGTCTTTTGTTTTCCATTGTAAAAATTTACTGTTTATTTAAAAAAATAATTTTAAATGATTAATTTTTAGACTCTTTAGGAAGTCAACTGATATATAATTACCATTTAATGACACGTTTATGCTTGCAAGCGAATTTAAATTAACGGTAATTCCAAATATTAAGGAGTGAAGACAGACTTTTTTTGCTTTTAAAATTGTGACTTTTGCATATAACTATTTAATTTTTTTTTAAATAATAACTGTTTTCATTTTATGTTTGAACTTCATTGTTGTTTCTTTGGTTAAAATAAATCAGAAAACAAAAATTAATTTGAGTAAAAATTTAATTAGTTATGCGAAATTTAAGAAAAATATTATGGGTGACCAAAGGCTTTCTTTACTATGTGTATTTGATATATAAATATTTAAATGATTTATTACTTTGGTAACGATAAGTTTTATTTTCAATTTAGAACTTCTTACTTCTGTGTCATTTCGACATTATGATCTCTTAACTTCAGATTCTCTTCATTATTTTTTGAAAGTGATTGTGTTATTTCGTTCAGAGAAGATTGAAATTTTAATTGTGTTTCCTTACGTCGTTCCTCTTCATCACGTATTTTTTGTAAACTTTCATTTTTAACTGATTTAATTAATTTTTGCTGCTCTCTGCAAACTTCTTGTAATTTGTCTCTACATAAATAATAAAAAAATTTCATATATATATATATATATAACACACAGTATATTTTATCTGCACTCACTTCATAAGGACATTTTTGTTGTGCTCTCGTTGAAGATTTTCTTTTTCCCGTTGCACTACTTCTAAGTTTCTTGTTTTTTCTTTCAAATCCTGCTTGATACGCCGGCTTTCGCGGTCCGATTCTATATACTTTTTTAACAACAGCTCAAATTTTTGCTCAGATGTTGTAGTTTCTTCTAATGATTTTAAAATCTAACGAATTAATTTAGAAAATATTTTATTTTTTCTTACTGTATTCTGTTTAAATATTTTACCTGTTCTTCAAATTTTAAGTCCTTTTGCTTTTCCTCCCTCGCCTCTCTTTTACTTTTCGCGCTTTTATCCATAACTAAGATAATTTAAATTTATACCTTTTATAAATTTAGTATGTTTTATTTTCAATGTAAAATAAAATGCTGCCGCTTTAAATAAAAAAGTTGCGCTGCCTAATATGGATAAAATTCATGTTTTCAAAATGTGTTTGTTCAATAATCAGCTGTTATCTGTCAACTGTTTGAAACACAATGTTCGAAAACTAGGTAATTTTGATATTCAAAAATGACACAATTTGAGAGAATATTGTTAACCAAAATCTTAATATGGTAAAGCTATTTAAGATGTATTTTTTCCGCTCTCGTTTGCTCTTTTATACTTTTAAAAATAAATTCGTGTACACTTTTCGAGTAAAAATTATTTCTTAAATTTTATATTGACTATTTCGTTTGATCAATTTATTAAATATTATAGAAATTTTTTTTGTTATAACAAAAAACTAAGATTCATGTTATTAAATTTAAATTATTTTGACATTAATTTATTTGCAAAAATAAATTATTATAAAAATACAGAATTTATTATAATATTCCGTAATCAACATGTCAACTGAAGTTACATTTAGAAACTGAGTTCCAAAATTTGACTACCAAGTAACCGATTATTTTTCGATAAGCAATACTCCATACAAGGAGATATGCATAGTTGTCATATGACAATATTATGTGATATATATATTTTTTCTTGCCACTTGGATTTTTCTTCTTGTCTTGTGAGCAGTGCACTAGCAATTATACTTGAAAAAAATATTCTAATTAGAAAATTTAGTAAATATGACCAGTCAAACTCAGGGTATACAACAATTGCTTGCTGCGGAAAAAAAAGCAGCTGAAAAAGTTGCAGAAGCAAGAAAACGTAAGTCTGACAAAATTCACAGTAACTCCATTTTAGTTTTGATCACATGATCGCATATGTGAGTATTATTATTTACACTATGGATGTTTTGATTTTTTAAAAAACAGGCAAGGCAAGAAGATTGAAGCAAGCAAAGGATGAAGCTACTGAAGAGATTGAGAAATACCGCCAGGAACGAGAACGTCAATTTAAGGAATTTGAAGCCAAAGTAAGTTCCTTAACATATACTTTTTACCTTTTTACTTGACCTTCATAAGCATTCAAAAATTTTAATTTTCGTACTAAATATTATATTGTTTTTGTCCAGCACATGGGTTCTCGTGAAGGTGTAGCTGCTAAAATTGACGCTGATACTCGTGTTAAGTTGGATGATATGGAGCGCTCCATTGCATCGCGAAAGGAACCTGTTATTCAGGAAATTTTGCAATATGTTTACAATATCTCACCTGAAATGCACAAAAACTACAAGCAAAAGTAGAATTAACTGACAAATTAAGTTAATGATTGTTACAATAATATATGATAAAACCACAGTGTATATTTTATCTATTATTGACTAATTGTGCATGTATTTCAATTGTTATTGTTTTCAAACCCAAAATGTATTAAATTATATTATATATAAAATTTAATTAGTCAAAAATACAGTATGTAAAATTATGAAATATTTAAATAAAATGTTTTGCCTCCGGGCTGCTTCATTCCAATATTTTTTTCTTATTTTCATTAAGTTAAATTTATGTAATGAAATTTTTCACATAACTAGTTTTTTGCATATAGAACGCAATGTAACGTCGATGCTGGTACAAATAAACACAGTTTATTTTCTTCAAACTTATTAAAATATTTATTGTATATTAAGATTTGATTTTATAAATTAGCTAATGAAATGCACATTTAGTGGCTGATTAAGTGAATTTTTAATTTTGGCATATTTGTGGCTATAAACGAACAATGGTTACATTTTAAATCAGTTGAAAGTAGGCGTTTGATTTCTTCTTCATTTATCTTTTTTACACACCCATCCGCTTTAAGTTCATTATATAATTCTAAAAGACGACGTTATATTATTATAAAGATGATTAAATAATTAATTAATTTACCTTCATATGGTAAAAACAATTTTGTGTTAAAGCTGTTCCAATGTTTCTTGGTTTTTAAACAATCCGATATGAAGTCTTGCGATATAACATGCAAGTGTAATTGACGCATACTTGGATCTCTATGAAATCCAAATTTAAAGTCTTCTAGTTTTAAATGTTTCACTTCAAGGACATCAATAGCAAGCATATGCAATTTATCTAGCAATTGTAAATGGTCCTTTGTTAACTATTATAAATAAAAAGTTTATAATATATGGATTATCTTAATAAATTTTTATATATGTGATTGTGATTAAAGCAATAACACAATAAATTCAGGGATAATGTCTTACAGGGATAATAAATTTTTAAAAACCAGCATCTACTATTATTTCAGTAGAACTTATCCAATATATAGATTCTTTTTTAAATCTACCGCCTTTAAACAATCTTTTTGATTATAAGAGCTTAGTCAATATTTTGTTCTATGAGAAAACATCTATTAACGTCAAGCTTGACGTCATTTTTTTAAATCTCATTGCTTAAAGAATAAACCTTTTACTTACATTGTATATAGTGGGTATATTCTCTTTTGGTAGCACTAAAAAATGGTTTTTCGCTTTGGGATATCTATCTTCTATCACAACACCAAAATCAGAAGAAAGTACATGATCTTTCACTTCCCTCACAGTTTTCATTAAGTCTAGACATACTAATTTCCTTTTAGCCATATTCATCTATATTACTAAAACAAATTTCAACAAAATAATTTACTGCACTTAATTCCACAAAAGTTTTAATGTGAGAATACACTGAAAAAACCTTTTGGTTTAATTTGGATAATTAAATTGAAAGTGTAGCCTCTAGGTAAAGAAGGTGCAGTTAAACTACACAAATGTCATGATTGTGGCCTTTAAGGGCTGCTGTGTAATTATTTCTAAAAAACTAAAAGTTTTTGTTTATTAAGATATATGAATACTCGTACACATAAATAAGTATTGTTTGGTTCAAAATTAAATGCTATTTCATTTATATAAATATGTCAATACCGTGTGCGAGTTTTTTTTTATTTATTGAATCACTTAAAAGGTCTAACAATAATTATTTAAATCTTACATACTAAAATATTCATTCAAAGTTTATGTCACTACTTAAACTTTCATTGTTTAAAACGTAAACATTCTTAATTTTTGATTTTTAAAGTTTTTAACTTAATGTGGTAATACATTTCATATGCATTAAAAGTATGCCGGTAAATCTGGTCTTTTGAGACGGGATATATTTCTTGTTCTGCTAAGATATTGAGCGAATGGGTTTGAATGTACCATTATTTTAGTGTCATATTTCTGCCGTAGGAGGACTAATTCGTCTTTGACTAGAGACACTTGAACGTTCATATGTATGATAGAATTTCTGAGAAACCAAGGGGCTCCTGTTAATAACGAAGTATTTTTGACTGACTGCGCTGTATAACAGCAATGTTTGACGCGCTAGCTTTACCCCAGAGTTGGGCCCCGTAAGTTCATATGGGCTTAATCATAGTTTTATATAACAGGACTTTATGAACAAGCTGTGATCTTGAATTTTTATTGAGTAGCCAATTCAACTTAAGGAACCTTAATTTTATTTGTGTTTTTTTTGCGGCTATGTGTTTCCATGTCAATCGTCGGTATAAATGAATACCAAGATATGTAATGCTTTGGGATGCTGATATAACGACGTTATTGAGTGTTACGGGTGGACAAGTATCTTTTCTAAGTGTAAAAGTTATATGTGTACTTTTTAGCTTATTTACTTGTATGCGCCACTTGGATAGCCAGTTTTGGACGTCCTTGAGATGAGCCTGTAGTTCCTGGGAAGCGGTGGAAAAATTTTTATGAACGCTGAGAAGAGCAGTATCATCTGCAAACGTTGATGTTGTAATTTTTTGACTAGTCGGCAAATCCGATGTAACTATAAGGTATAAGGTATAAGACTGGTCCAAGAACGCTGACCTGCGGGACCCCAGCATACACATCAAACTCATCTGTGGTTGTATCCTTAAATTTTACTTTGTATTTACCTGTAGTTAGGTATGAAATCAATAGTTTATGAAAAGGAGTTGGTAAAATTTGTCTTACCTTAAAGATTAGACCTTCGTGCCATACTTTGTCAAAGGCCTGTACAATGTCAAGAAATAGGGCTGAGCGGTATTTTCCTTCTTCAAATGCCTTTCTATTTTCGTTTGCCACTCGGTGATCTTGCTCAATTGTACTGTGTTTATGACGGAAACCAAATTGGTGAGTTGGAGTGATGTTATTTTCTTCATTGAACGGGAGAAGCTTTGTTAACAATAATTTTTCAAATAGGTTAGAAAGGGTTGGCAGTAAGCTAATTGGTCTGTAGGAGGTTATTTATGTTACATTTTTGCCAGGCTTTGGGATCATCGTGATTTGAGACGTTTGCCAAGCCAAAGGAAAATATCCGACTCTAAACATTGCGTTGCATAAAAAAGAAAACATTTTTATAGCAATACCCGTAAGCTGAGATATCATTTCATTGGTTATAAGATCATGACCAGGAACTTTCTTTATTTGAAGTCAATAGTTTTCTTGATCTCATAAAGACTGACTTTTATTGGATTATTTATTGCATTTCTAATGCTGGCATTAATTTCTAAATGACCAGTAGGTGAGTTGGGTATAAAAACCGTTTGCAGGTGTTCAGCAAAAGCTAAAGCTTTTTCTTCGTTACTCCTTGCCCATTTTCCGTTTCCCAAACTAAACCGCCTTAAGGGTGGTTTAGTTTCCTTTGGGCCTTTTAACCGCTTAGTGGTCTTTCATAATGACAATTTATCTTTTCCGGAAGGGAGAGGTTTTCCGTAAATTTCTGTATATTTTCATCCAGTTCTTTATCTAAAGTTTTAATACTCTTAGCTTAGCTGCTTGATAAAACATTTACTTTGCGGATGAAGATCTAGTTCGTTGCCATTCTCTTGGTAGACGCCGTTTTTCTTTTAAAAGTTTTTTAATTAGAGCGGATATCCTTTTTGGAGGCTTTGGGTCGGGGTCATGCATGTTGGGTGTTGCGTGCACTGCAGCTGCGGTTATAACAGTCGTAAGATCATACAAGACGAAGTCTATATCTGTCTCATTTCTGAGCTTGGGATTCAAGTTTATGTGACTTAACAGTCACATGTATGTATTTTCGGAACTTAATCCAGTTAGTTTGTTTGGAGGTAAGCTTAAATGATTTTCCGTAACAGAGTGCTTTATTTGAAACAGTTATCAGGACAGGCGAGTGATCAGAAGACCATTCGCAACAAGTTTCAGAATTTATAATGTTTCGGTCTATGCCTCTGACAACACCAAAATCAATTAGATCAGGAATTTTACATGAGTCTGGAGGCCAATAGGTTGGTTGACCTGAAGAGGTAAAATCAAGGTTCATTGGGCGATTTGATAACGCTAAGTAGAAGATTTTGCCTATAGGATTAAAAAGCCGTGAGCCCCAGTGAGTGTATTTAGCATTATAATTACCTGCAGCTATATACTTTTTGCCAAGTGTTTTAAAAAATTCGATAAATTGCGTGTGAGTTATATTAAACCTGGGTGGGCAGTAAACTGACGATGTCACTATATCTTCGTTCCAGCATTCAAGATAAATGGATGTACCTCCCCGAGTCTTGCCGTCTGGGTAATTAGTGTGATAAAATTTATATTCAGGTATAGAGAAGTGATTTTTATTTGTTAAATGAGTCTCGGATAAGAGTACGACGTCTATTTCATTTGTGTTTAGGAATAATTGGATTTCACGCTTTCTTTGGCTTACGCCATTGCAGTTCCATTGACATATTTTTATGGAATTCATTTAGAAACGATAGAGTTTAGAAGTTGCTGCTGAGTTTTAAGTAGTTCATGGAACATCGATTGCATTGAAATCATACATTAAGACCGAAAGGTTTTCGGATATTCTCATTTAAAATTCGCGCGCTGTATATTTTTCGATATTTTAAGTTTATGTAGTTTG